GTGTGTGTGTGTGTGTCTGCATATGCCAGGAGCCCTGCAGTGACACAACTGAAGGGCTGTCACAGCAGGAAAAGCTGACTAATGCTGGGGGACCAATTTGTGAGGGAGGAATTTCCCAGAACCCTGGGCTAACCTGTGTGAGACTGCCTGACTCTTCCACAAAAACTAGAAATTAATTAGGACTTGGTATATATTTTAAAAATATATTTCCTCTTTAGCTTAGTGGTGAGTAAAGAAAAAGAAAAAAATATATAAATGTATATAAGTGTGAATGCATGGATATAAAGAAAGGGAATCAATTTTGAACGTGTAAGTAAGCATACATATGTTGTGGGTGCCTGTGGGAAAAATTTATCAGTAAGAGTAAGTCATCAAGGGCAGCACCTGTGCCTCAAGGGTTAGGGTACTGGCCCCACATACCAAGAGTGGTGGGTTCAAACTTGGCCCTGCCTAAACTGCAAAACGAAAAAATAGCTGGGCATTGTGGCAGGCACCTGTAGTCCCAGCTACTGGGGAGGCTAAGGCAATAGAATCACCTAAGCCTAGGAATTGCAGGTTGCTGTGAGCTCTGACGCCACGGCACTCTACCAAGGGCAATAAAGTGAGACTCTGTTTCTTAAAAAAAAAAAAAAGAGTAAGTCATCAAGAACAGCGGCAGATCAGTAGTTAATAGCACAGATGAGAGCTATAAAACATTCCAACTTGCTATTCCCTATCTTTGGGGTTAATAACAGGAAAGTAAACTCAGGCTACAGTAGCCATCAGGGCCAGGGCTGCTAAGCAGACATCCATGGTGAGGCAGGAGAGGCTGACTCCTGCTCACATGCCTGAGAAGCCCGCCCTGCCATAGCCCAGTGTAGCTGGATTGTCAAATTTTTTTTTTCTTGGAAGATGATCCAGAAATCTGGATTTTTGCATGAAATCTCCCAATTCACAAATGACAGCAACTACTTTAAACTTTTTCAAAAAGTGTAAAGGGGAGGCTAGGCATGGTGGCTCGTGCCTATGATCCTAGAACTCTGGGAGGCTGAGGTGGGAGGATCCTTTGAGCCCAGGAGTTGGAGACCAGCCTATGCAAGAGGGAGATCCCATCTCTGCTAAAAATAGAAAAATTGGCTTGGCGCCTGTGGCTCAAGCA